CTCAGCACCCACTACGTCGTTTATAACTGAACAATAAAAATATTAATTACTATTCATCTTCCTAGACATTATTCTATGTAATATATGTAGAGGCGGTGTTATGTAGATAAAAAAAAAAGGCTAAACGCTATAAAATTATTTTTGTTATATTTAATCAAATTTCAACCTTAGTTGGTATAATAATTGCATTAGTTATTTTATACATTTTACTCTGAAACAATTTAGGATTTTGATTTGATTCACCAACACTGGTATCTCTATTATTTATTGTTAAATTATATCAAAATTAAAAACCAGTAAGGTAATGATAAAAATTGAGAAATAATTAGACCTAAAATGAATTGTTGTTTTATCTAAAATATCAAAGGAAAAAATATATTTATTTGTTTTAGATTTTTGAGTTCAGCGGAAGTGGAAGGTATTCAATTATGTTTGTGTTCTTGTGGCGGCTAAAAAGAATAGATTTTGTGCTGTCACAGATGTGGAGGGAGTTGAATCTACAGATTAAAACTTCTTATCACATAGTTCCAGGTAAAACAGTGAAATACCATATTATTTATGCAACCTAAACAAGGGTTTCAGGGAAAGGCGGTGGTAGGTTATGCCCTTGCACACCCTTGCAATTTGTACATAAAATTGGCTTGGATACAGCTATAACATAATACAATTTAATATCAAAAAACGATAGTTATAATCTCAATAAAATAATCTCATATTTGATTTTTATTGCTTCGATGTTTTGGGTAATGGCATTGGCATACCGCCATTGTCATATTAAAATCATTTATAATAATACCCAACAAATTTCACAACAAATTGAGCAGTTCCGAATGTCTAATTTCAGAAATACGGTATGCCTTGAAGTGTACTAACAATCTGGTGGCAGAAATGGTACACAGTGTACGGCAAATACATTTTTATGTGCTGTCGGACGTCATAGAAACCGAATGGGAACATTTTCGAGAGGCCATTAACAAAGCGTCTTTGCTGGAGACAGTGATTGAAGCACACAACCAGTTCCTGAAGAACATCTTCAAGCGATCCGTACAAACTGAAGAGACACACGTACGTCGACAATTTTTCATTGTAGACGAGAGATGATCTATAGCTCAATTAGAAAGGCTTCAACTCCACCCCCACAAATTGAAAAACTAGTTCTTTCAATATAGTTATTTTGTTTAACCTTTGAGTATATCAACCATGATAAGTTAAATTGTAGTTAGAGGAGTCATAAAATTGTTTAGTAGTGTAGTGCTGGACTCTTATTATATTAACCTCAATGTTCCCCCCGCTTGGGTCAAAGAGAGTTTCTGTATGGTTGAGGAGAGAAGCTCTGAGTTCATGTTAAATAGAGGTCCTATATTTTTGTATAGTTGTGATTTTGTTTTATTTATTGAATTTAAACTTTTCTTAGTTAATTATATGCTGGAGCTTGTTAAACTACATTACTTTCATAAGAGCCAGATAGGAACACAGGCTTAGAATTTTAATCTGAACTTTAAAAAGTTTAAAAGTTAATAGCTTAATTTAAAAAAAAGATAAATTATATTAAATCATGTTATATCATATTTTTAATTATACCATGATTCATACTTATTTTTTAATTGGGTCTTTTCTAACGGAACATCATTTATAATTTATATGCATATATTTATTTACCTAAATTGTATTATTATTGTTGTTATTTCCTTCTTTTGACTTTAAATTGTTTATTGTAACTTTATATAAAATGGGTTTGAATCAGCTTCAAGTAAGTATTTAATTTTAACAATAATAATTTATGTATTCATTTTTATCTTATAAGAAAATAAATAAATTGGTACTTAAATAACAGTAATATAAATACTTAGTCTTAAAAACAAAATTCCAAAGTAACAATGTGCACAGAAAATTAAAAATATGTGGGGCTTAAATATTTTTCATATATTCCCAATCATATACAAATAACCATATTTGATACTTTGATATGAATACATAATGTTTATAAAAAGCTAATTTTCTTATTAAAGTATGTTAGTTACTAAGTTGTACTTTAACTGTAGAGATGAGAGCATGTATTTAAAATTTTAACCACTTGATAAATAACAAGTAATTAACATATAAATTTAACAATTGTAACTGGTTCTATAGTTTTTTAACTTTTTTTAAATTCTAGTAAAAATGAGTCATGTGAAATCTTGTAAATAGCTCCTATTCCTACAAGTTAGAAAGTTAGACCTTGCAAGATAACAATTTTTACCGCTCATAAGTATGAAAGTGTGGAATAAGTTTATTAATAAGACACATTGTCAGTAATACATGCAAATACTTTTTCCATATACAATTTATTTCACTTTTATAATTTAATTTTCCAACACAGATTTAATTTTTATATTTTATAACCAGGCCTGACCTTTGTATTCCTCATTACCCCCAGCTACATAAAGTATTTAATTACATGACTAAAAATAAACTATATCCTGTTTGACTGGGCTTTTTAAAGGATTTATCAAAAAAAATGCGTCAGTTATTCGAGTCTGTGTTGGAACTCCGAGGCATTCAAGAAAGGTTTCACAGCCAGTCTGAGTATGAACTGAATAGGCGTAAAGACCTAGATAAATACATCGAAGAGCACGGTACGAACAATAAAATAGAAAAAGATGATTTGGAAACGAAAGAGGCGTTCTTGTTGGAAGTTGACAGATACGAAAACATCATCAAGGAGATCAGCAACTCTTATAAGGTAGTAAGATTTATGTTCTATAGATTTAACTAAGATAAAATGTACTCTAAGGTCAATATTTTGACTTGAAAATTGTTTGGTATTATGTTATTTTTTATGAAACAATCTAAAACAAAAAATCAAAAAGTACCATTTGCTGCACCCGAGTCCATGCGCACACCTAACTGATGCATTTGAGGTACCTGGCAATTTTTTAAAATAAATAGTCACCTACTTGATTAAAAATAAATTGCAGTTACTTCAAAAGCAACATTTAAGCATTGTAGACGTGCAGCAAACGGTGTTTGATTTTTTTTTTATGGTTACAAATTGTTAAGTACAAATTTTAACCTTGGGGTACTAGGATAATGCACTTTCAGAGTTGTTTTAATCCATCACTAATTTTTGTTTGGGCTTTAGATTGATTTAGTGAAATTTTTGAAAAAACTCATTAAAGTGTCTACTGACGACCAAGATGCTTTACACTCGTTGGCCAACCGTATCAACTTCAACAAGTACTACAGTAAAAACGATCAAGATTTAGAGAAATGCGCCACCTATATATGCAGATCTCACAAATAGTCATTAAAAATTGTATGGAATCATATGGCTAACATATCTTTCTTTTGATTGTACAAAAACTAACAATGTATGTAACATTAAACCTAAGTAATTTAAGTTTGTATTTAACATTTAATTGTTATTGCATCAATTTATAGGAAATAATAAAAGTAATAAAAAAAAAAATAGTTTTGGATTTTTGTATAATTTTTCTTTTGGGTGATCTAGAAGATTAATGAGCAAAAGTAAAATCATTTTTTAACAGTTCTTTCTGACTGATAAAGGGGGTTACTAGAGTCAGCAGTTTGATTATGGCCTGTCCAGAGGTAATTTGTTTAAATGTAAACTGGGTGAATAGTTGTGTACTCATACGTAAGAAATATTTTGTGTACGAAAAAGTGTTCGTACATTTGAAATGAGATATTCTATTGTATAAGATTTAACAAATGTATTAAATAATTACAATTGAAGAAATTGATGGGTGTCTCCCTTAAATAAACTTAATCATTTTTAATTACAAAATAAAATGTAGTTGAAAGGAACATCTAGACTTGACAATTACAACACACCATACTTCCATACATAAATGTAGTCTGTTTCGGAACGATTAATACAAGATAAACGACAAACATGGTAGTTACGGCACAAAAAATTAAATACAATAACATCGCCTCATCCTGGTATGAATATTTAGTAATATATTTTCATGCATGTGTTTTCCTAATTAGTTTTGCTTTTATGTTTGCAAGAATCCATAAAACAGTGAAAACAATTTAAAGTAATAAAATTACATCAAAAAGGCATATGACATTGTCAACCATAAAATCTTATTTGATATCTTATATAAATCCGGATTGAGGAAACTATTATTATCCTTTAATGTGTTGACTAGACAAAAAGTTTAAATTAAATTAAATACTGTTATCCATATTAACTCTATTATAGTTTTATCTATTCAATTATATTGTATATTGGCCTTATGTCAGTTAATTAGATTGTATTAATTGAAGTGATAGGAGACGTGTTAGTTTTTGAACAACCAACAAAAATTACAACAAACTAGATTATTTAAGTGCGATTTTTCATTATTTTAATACATAATGTAGTATAAATTATTCAATTACATATTTATGTATAATCAATAGTAGTAACCAATACGTTTGTTTAATTATTAATTAGAAAAAATTATATTAAATTTAACAATGAATAATTTTTAAGATATACAAAAATAAAGTATATTTTTATATTTTTAACACTTAATATTCCATATACAACACCGTTCAAACACACGCTTTCCTTTGAACAAACCATATAAGACAATATTGCCTCACTGAAAAAAAAGCTCAACTGATAACTACTGGGAAGGGTTATTAAGAACCATTGTATATTTCTGTTGTACAATTTCTTTTTTGATTACGTAATTTTGAAATAATACTTTTTTTCCAAAATCAGAAGTAACATACCACTGCATATTGAAAGAAAAATATTTTCTACAGGAAACTGATACCAAAATATAAATAAACTGTGCAACATTAAACAGCATAATGTAATAATATTAATATATTTAATGTTTAATTTATCTTAGAAAGTAACTAGAGTAGTATCAGAAACAAAAAATTTATTTATACACAATAAATGGAATAAACATAATAACACTCAATTTCCTATGAAAAGAAAAATGTATAATATATATAAAGATAAAAAAAAATTATTGGTAGGTACAAAGTTATTAATAACATAATAAGAAAAGTTGATACAAGAAAAAAATACATTTACCCACATGCGGGTTTTTAAAAGTAGGGCAACTAAATTTAATTGTTATCATACTAAAGCAATATTATTTTGTTGCATTCTTAGTGTACTATAAAATATTTCTAATTCTGTCTTTCAATAAAAATCTTAATTAATTGAAGCTTCAAAATACAATCTAAAATCAATAGACATACCTATATATATTCCATACGAACAATAGAATCTTGAAATCTCTAATTTCAATATTAGGAACTATTTATGGTGAGAGCTAATGAAAACAGATTTGATGTTGTAACATTGTAATCAACTAATATTTATAATTATCTAAAAGTTATAATTGTTAACCATACATTGATTAACAAAAAAGTAAGGATGGAGAAATCTATCATCAAAAACACAGTTTTTCAACAATTACATTTTTGAAAGTCTCAATTATATGAAACTTAACCAGAATTATTAGTTATATAATGTAGGTATGAAGTACATCCCCGTATTTTCTATGGAAATTGAGAAATACAATACAAATATTTATAATTTTTTAATTTTCTAGAATTAATTTCATACTTTTGACTAATTTGAATGCTATACTTATTTAATTTAAATATTTTCCAACTATAGGGAAATATAATTTTAAATAAGTTGATGCAATTATTACAGGAGACATGAACTATACTATTAGAATGTTATTTGTTGTGTTTTATTGTATGTGTATACATACATACATACATACATTGTAAAGACACTAACATTTAGAGTTAGAATTAATACCTTTATTGTACATGTTACATTTAAATAAACATAATTTTAATTTCCTTAAAATAAAAATGTAGGCTATTACTGTTAACATAACACTAACATAACTAAAACTTATTAATTATAAAAATTTGCAAACCATTAGTTTAATAAACATATACATAACTTATTTTTCTGTATTCATTAATTTTACTGTCAAATTCAATAAATCGAATAAAATGTTCATTTTTATGTTGTGATCATACTCAAAATATGATGCACATATATCAATTCCGTTAAATGCTTAAAACTAATTACCTACAAGTTAATTATGGTAAATACATTAACAGAATATTTAAGTACATTTACTACAAGTATGAAATCTATGACAGAATAACACAAATTTCAAAGTAAATGCTGATCTAATTTTAATTTAAGTAAAAACAATCATTGATATACAACAAATTACAAGTCACAATTCTTTAATAGTTATTTTACTTAAATATATTTACAAATAACTCACAAGTACACTCTTTTTTTTACCTAAATTGGTAACTGTATGTTTAAGTCAATATCAAAATCATGTACAGCATATAAATCATCAGCCTTCATCACATTCATTCTGGATGAACTACCATCATTCTAAGAAAATAAATATATATTTTAATTCTATAAATTCAAGTATTGTAACATTTGTAACGTATTAGTAAAAAGCTCAAATTTTCTATTAACTTACCTTAATGTCATTGGTTTCAATATTGTTTTTGGACTCTTCAACTTCTGGAGCTATTGGACCATCGCTAACAGAATTTGTTTTTGCTCTAAACTTCATACATGGCTTGGTACTTCTACGAGTGAACGGGTCGTCAATTTTTTTCCCTTTGTTAGCCTTGAGTTCCTCCTAAAAATTAAACACAATATTATGTTTCTTATATCTTGGCATTTTGTTATGTTCAGTGATTTACCAAAATAGCCTTTTCAGCTTCTTCGACATTCCGCTTACGGTTTCTATCATTTATATAACTTATACTGGATATTGTGCTAGTTCTCATTTTGTCTAAATGATTAGCTCGCTCTTCTAAATCTGATAGTTGCTGTTCAATCTTCAAAACTTCTTCTACTTTGCCACTATTTAAAAATAAAAAATTATTAAAGCGTTTATTGACATGATATTAAGATACAATCATAGTATTCAAAACCAATCATATTTAAGTTATATTCTTAATAAATAGATCAATATCAAAAAAAAAATATTCGATAAATTATTGGGGCTCTAAATTGCAATTTAAAATTCAAAATGTTTTTATTATCACCAAGTTCTGTTTAAGGTAAAATTGTATATACTATTGACAAATCGTGTTAAGTTTAATTACAACTTCCTTTAATATAGAACATATTTTTGTTGGCAAAGATTTTAAAGACCGATTGAGAACTACTATACTATAAACCAATATCTTGTCAAATACTTTATGATAAAAAAAATAATAATCTTAGATTTAATTTCATGCAATTGGGTAACATTGTAATTATCTTTAAAAATGATATTTTCATAAAAACCTATTTTGTTAATTTTAATATCTCTATTTATCAAATTGTAAAATAATAACTATTTTTACTTTTTTTGTTCAATACTGAACTTGTATATTGTCTTTTTCGCACATGTTTAGTGTGGCAAATATCTCAATAAATAACTATTTAACATGCTAAAATATTAAACTTGAGATACAGAAAAAATTAGATATGATAAAATCTTAATTTTCTTAAAATCTAATTTTTTTTTCATTATTGTGAAAACCTACATGAACATTTCAAAAATTTAATATAATCTTAGATTTAATACATACAGTGCCTGTGCATCATCTCTATCCTTCATTAATGAAGTTTTTTTCATTGCATAATTATGAGGATTTGTTTTGAAACGCTCTTTCTCTCGAACAATCTAGAAGATATTTTCATTCAAAATTATGTAAATTACTTTATGTTTAAGAATAATAAAATTGAATACCTGTTCGACATCTTCTTCTTTGAATTGATATGCAAGAGCAGCTTTAACATCTCTCACTTTCATTTCTAGTTCAGCCAGAGTAGGTAATGGTATTCGATTCATGTGGCAGAGTTCTTTCCACTTAACAAACTCACTCTCTGTAAACTCTTGATTGCTTATAAATTCCAAACGAAAAACTTTTTCATTAGTACCATGCCTAAAAAAAAACCCCCAAATAAATAATACTAAAATTTATATCTTTATAAGTAATTAATGCATTTCTTTATACTTAAGTCTTAATCCTTTGTTGGTACGAGTACTCCCTAACTGATACACTTTAGCTGTCTCGCAAACATTACAAATTTCAGCAACCTTTTAAGGGTAAAAATATTAAAAATGTTATAATAACAAATCAAATTATAGGAGCATACCCGATAAACTGGAATTCCATTATAATTGCCGATTCCAATGCGAACAAAACATCCTATAACAGTTTTCTCAAATGTAGGCAAGTGTACAAATCTAAAAAAAAAAGATTAAGTTAATATGGACGGTGAAGATAGATATTTTAATGGTCAATTACTTTTCCATTTTAAATCTTGACAATCTAATTTTGTTCAATTCATCTCGTTTTGTAATATAATGTACTTTTTTCTCACTAAAATTATTGAAAAAATTACTATGATTTTAATTTTTACACATTTTACAATTTTTTACTTTGTATCTGAATCAGAGTCAAAAAAGTGACGACCTTTTTTAACTGATTCGCTTGAATCAGTATCACTTGAAGAATTACTGTCATCTGAATAAATATCGGAAGCTTTTAATTTGGACTGATTTTGATCGCTTTGTTTATCACTAGTTTCTTCATCATCATCATCTCCTTTTTTTTCCATGTCTTTCTTAAGTTGTTTTTCTTTTTCTTCCTCTAAAATAATAGAACAAATACAACTTGTCAGTTAAAAAATTACTTATTGGTAAACATATTTAATTTTAATCCACTGTTTAAGCTGAACAGTTTTGGTAAGTTGTTATAATTAAGTATTTTTATTAAAATAATATTATTTATTTATTTATAAACAATAGTCATTCATAATGATAATAAGATAAAAACTTTGTAACTGAAAAATGAATATACAAAATCATTAGAATAAACTTAAATAGCAAATAACATTTTTTCCTTGGCATCTTAAATGTGTTATTTTAAGATTCTTATACAAAAATATAATAAACATTGATTTATTCTTAATGTTAACTGCTGATACTGTTATATTATGTATCAAAATGGACATACCTCTTTCTCGTTTTTCTTCTCGTCTTGCTTTTAACATACTCATTGCCGCTTTCTTATCTCCTTTTCCTTTATTTTCTTCAACATTTTTCTTTCTTTCTTTTACACGATCTTTCAAATCAAGGGGCATAGAAGAACCTGAGTATGGTGAGTCTGATCTGTTTGAGGACATACTTCTTTCTAAAGATTTTTGTTCTTTCATTTCCTTTTTTTTAGCACGTTTAAGCTTTTTCTCTATTTCAAATCTATAAATGAATAAATTACATGATATCTTATTTGAGATAAAGTTATTTTATTTTACCTTGTTTTCATTATTTCTCTAGCTTCAATACGTTTAAATATTTCAGTTTCTCGTTCTTTTTCAGTCATTTGTGCAAGACGTTCTCTGTCTTCGTCATCTCCCATCAACTCTTCATCATAACCATCATTGAATTCTTCTTCAGAATCTTCAGAAGATTCACTAACTATAAAAAAAGTAAGAGTAAAATAAGATCATTAAAAATATTCAGTCAAATAGATGTATTAATAGATTAAAAAAAACCTAAACATATACAAAATATTATCAACTACAAAAATAATTGACATTTGAAGGTACCAAAATTATTTTTAGTAAATAATTATACATAAAAATAAAATAAAATTTCTTAGGTTAAACATATACTATGTATATACTAAAGATACCAAAGAAATATATACTTAGGTGATAATAATAAATATTTTATAGGTATCATACATTTTTCTTTGTATTCTCTAATACAACTAGTAATTTATAATTTATATAATCTATTGATTATAGTGATGAGTAGTGTAACTTTGTCATAGGAACCAAGTATTTGGTACCTGAAAATCAAAATATATGCACTTTCTCCCTAAATTGACGAAATATGGAAAATATGTGTTTTAAATTTTTGATTTTTAAACTCACCACTGTATAGCTCTAATTTCTAGCTAGGTCTGCTATAAATCGAGAAAATTAAGAGGATATACTCTTATTATATTTTAGTGGTTATACAACTAATATACTGTAATATCAACAAGATCATTGCAGTTCAACAAATTATATACACTATCGATAGGTATATAATATATAATAATTATATATATAATTGTGAGTCACTCTACATGGAAGCTACTTTTTAAATGGTCTGTTTACGAGGTTTGTTCAAAAAGTACCCAGACAAATATTATTACGGCTAATCTAGGCACGATAACGTTTTAAATTACATACTATTTTAAACAAAACCCAAGTCGCTATTTTATCTCAGTTTAAATCAGGGGTCTTCAACCTTTTTATGCAGCGGACAACATATTATTATTTTTTAAATATAGCGGGCCACATTTATAGGAAAAACATGTATTTTATATAAAAATCCAGTTTTATTATTACAATTTTTAAAATTAGGTAGGTACATTTAAAATTATAAATTATTATTAAAACATACATAGATAAACATTTTTTTTTAATTACAAATTTTTTATTTTATTTTTAATGTGAAAACCGACAATGTTTTTCACTAACTAATTTTTCGATATTTGGTTGGATCTGAGACGATGCAATTCTGAGTAAATTTTCCAAGTGAATGTCAGTTAACTGAGCACTAGTTTTAGTTTTGACAATTTTCATTCGTAAAAAAATGTGTTCACAAGTGTAAGTACTGCCAAAAAGAGACATCATTCTTTATGCTTCGTTTTAATGATTAAGATAATATCGTCGTTGACATGAAAAAAAAATCCTCTGGCCAAATTTTCGATTTTGAGATATTGGTATCATTGAATTCAGGAAAAATAGGCAGTTACTTTGATAAAAACTCCAATGTACTATCTCTATCTCCATTGTAGAATTAATGAAAAATAATAAACAATTCCTCCAATGTGTTACAAACCATAAATTGTTTATTAAATACCTCCTGTGATTAAAAATTTGGTCAAAATTACATTGGGGGTATTGACAAGGATGAAATATGTACATGGGAGATTTGTCCATGTTCATAAATGATAATAACAATTTAATATAATCAATATAAATTTCAATTGATAATAATATTATTACATTAATACATTAAAAATGATGTAAAATTCATACAATATTTTGAAGTAGGCCTTTCAAAATGTTATCAACGAAAAGGTTTGAATATTTTGCAAGTAAAATTTTATAATAATATAATAGAACATTATAATTACATAAACAAAGTCTGAAATGAGTAGGAACATTATATTTTGTCATGAATTTGTGTATTTTATTGTAGGTATTTTACAATGCTTAATTTGTGTTGTTGATTATTAGCAGTACTATAGGTATTATAATAAATTGTAATATGCACATTTTTAGATCACTATGAATCGTGGAAAAAAATTAGTAGGAATTGTTGAAAAAAGCCCAATACCACACCAAAAAATTGTATACTCATCAAGCACAAAAAAATGAAAATGTAGAAAATTGGTCAAACACAAGAAATGGCATAGAGGTAGAAGATCTAAACACAGGTTGAATGGAGTAGATATAGATGACTTTATAATAGAGTTTGCAGATAATCATAAGACAAATAATATTATAGAAGAGAGTGACAACATGCTTGAAAACAATTCGTTGAATTTAGGTTATTAACAAACTGTAGATAATATTGTTATATTAGATACTCAAAATGTTGAAGAAAGTTCTGGTTTGAAAATAAATACTATCGGTAGTTTTGAAGTGCTTGAAAACAATTTATGCAGAGAAATAACTTAAGATTTAGCAATATTAGGCACTCAACTTTATGAAAAAATGAACAATTTGAAGAAAAAAATGATGATGATAACCAAGCTCAGTGAATTATATAGGGAGATGTGCCAAATAAAAGATTGAATCAAAAAAAAAAGAATTGCAGGTTTGGCATATATGGGCTATTCACAAAATTATGAAAAAATTGTTCAAAACAAACCAAGAAATATAAGAAAAATTGAAGAATGTTGTAGTCATACACTCGAAGGGCCAAAGAGCACTAAAAGCTTTATGTGTGGTGCATTCTCTGAAAATGATAGACAGAATGTATTCAACAAATTTTGGAAAATGAAGACTTAGGATGAGAAACGTGGTTTTGTTCGAGGTATGGTAACTAATAAACCAATAGTAAAAGAAAGAAAAATAAATGAACAAAATAAATATGTTAAGTCAGATAATCGAGATGTAAGATTGCAGACATTGAATGGACAATGTTTAAAAGTATGTAGACTTTTTTTTTTAAATACATTAAACACTGGTGAAGATCGTTTCAAAAGAAGGACAAAAAAAAGTACTGAATTTACAGAACCTGGCATAGAAACCAAACCAGCTCCATCATCAAGAAAATTTAAAAAATGTATTGATGTACTTCATATAAAAGAATGGTTACATTTACTTCCTAAAGTACCTATCCATTATTGTAGACAGTCTACCTCTAAGATCTATATTGAATCTACCTTTGTATCTCTATCTAGTATGTATAGTGTTTCAAGAATGGTGCCAAGAAAAAAACATAACCTATGCTACCAAAACTATATTTTGCAAAACATTAAATACAGAAAATATAGAAATCCATCAGCCCTGTAAGGACCAATGTGACATGTGTTGGGTATAAATTAGGTTCTGTTTCAGAAACTGTTTATAATAGACATGTAAACAGAAAAACTATGGCTAGGGAAGAAAAAAATTAATTTAAAGCTGAGGTTTCAAGTACCAAAGTTGTAATAGTTATGGATTTACAAAGTGTTTTACTTTGCCCAAAAAACAGATGCTTTTGCTATGTATTATAAAACAACAACTGCATGACTTTACAATCTACAAACTCAATCTCAATGACAAAGATGTTACTCTATATGTCTGGCATAAGGAAAATGGAAGTGTAAGTGCCAATGAGTTTAATAATTGCATCATTCAATATATTGACACACTTCCAAATAAAGTGACTGAAGTTATATTGATTTCAGATGGTTATAATTACCAAAATCGTAACAAAACACTGGCAAGTACCTTGGCTAAAACTAAAAGTATAACTATAGAACAGTTATTTCTAACAAAGGGTCATACTATGATGGAAGCTGACAATGTCCATTCTACTCTGGAGTACTGTTTTAAATCATCAATATATTCTCCTGGAGATTATATTAGTAGAATGAGATTGGCAAAGTATAATCAACCATATAGAATCAACATTTTGGACCACTCATTTTTTTTTTAAATTATGATGATGTTTGCTCGTTAACTTCATTACGTCCAGGAAATAAAACAGGAGACAAAGTTGTTATAGATATTTGTAAACTTCAGTACGCTCATGAAGGTGAAACACTATACAAAACAGAATTTGAAGATGATTGGACAAAACTTCCAGAGTTAAAATAACTAGAAGAACAGTAATTGAATCTCAAACACTAACAAATTTGTACAATACACCATTGCCCATCTCTGATACAAAATTTAAAGATTTGCAATCATTAAAACCAGTCATAGATAAATGTGACAATTTGCCACATTCTAAAGATCCAAAAACTAATAAAATATAGAACTTCAATAAATATAATTTAATATAAAGTTCTATTTAAAGTAAAGTTGATAATATTTTATGATTTATTTTATTATGATGACTGATTAAGTGATAACTATTTTTTATTACTTTAAATGTTGTATTATAATTTTCTATAATTAGTTACCTATAAAACAGAAAAGTGAGAAACTATGTTTTTTTTTAAACTGTGATAAGTAGGGTTTGGGACTTCTTGCATTTACATGTTTTTTTGTAGTCTATTCTAAGTGAGTTATAAATGTGTAATATGAAATGACGAAATTAAATACTAAGTTTGAATTTGCATATTTTTGCATATTCCGTCATATTTTAAGAAAAGCGCATATTTGAGTAATTTTTAACATATTTGGGCATATTTCACATTTTTATAAACGTAAAATTGTCGGGAAAAATCATAATTGGATGGTCTTAGTCTGTCGTATCTAACACGTACGTCCGTTTACGATGATAGTCACTTTATCGCTTAATAATAAACCTTTTTATCGACAATTGTATAGTTGTGGTAAAACCTAATGAATCCTAGGTTGATACAGATGGAGATGAGTAACCCGTGTAAAAATTATTTTTATTATACTAAGTACGTAATAAATTTTTATTTTTTTAATTTATAATTTTACGTTTTTTAAAAACAAAATAAAAAATTAGCTGCATATTTTAAAGCATATTTTGACGATTTTGACTGCATATTTCGATAATTTTAAGTGCAAGAAGTCCCGAATCTTAGTGATAAGAAATCCAAAGACTGGTTACTATTACATTATTATTTTAAACTTTTACCTTATTTGTTATAATTCAAAAAAGTATATTTAAAGTATTTTGTATGACTTAAATTTGTTAATTATTTTATTACGAGGACTTTTATTATTTAAAGTGGTTAACTATTTTTTATTGTTTTTTGTTGTTGTAATGTTTTACATTTTAAAATTAGTTATGACTTATAAAAAAGTTGAAAGTTATTTTGTTTTATTATGTTAAGTATTTTATACAATTATAATTTGATAATAAATTATTTCTTAGATAACACAATTTAGTTTTTTTTTTCATAAAATCGTTCAAATTACGTCATATTATTATTTCTCTGGCACCAACTATTATTCAAAGAACCTCCAATGTACTGTTTGGCGAAAAAAAAATTGATTAACATATCCTCCTATGTGATGAAATATTGAAAATTTGTACAATAAATACATATATATTAAGTTTTTTACTTCAATTTTTTTCAAAATAAAAATTTATATTCTATTACGTTTTTTAAATGTATTTTCATTAATCATTGAAGATTTGAAATTTTTTAAAACGTTTTTTGTCTCTATTGAAAAATGAGGTTTAAGCACATTGGAGGTTTTTTCATGTCAACAAATATTATGTCTCTGTGTCAACATATTTTGAATAAAAAATTGAAAATTCAACATAATTGTACCTTTCATTTAATATTGTATTGTTCTGGAAATCAATGATTTCCATTTGCATTTTTCTGGAACATCTTCAACTACTGATAATGAAAATGGAATTGAAAACAAATTACTTTTATAGTAGCTATTGGACTATTTTTCTTGAAGACGCGACTTTCATCCGAGATTTTACCTTTTATACTCATAGACATATTGTACAAATATTACGAAGAAAATGTTTGAAAACTTTTACACATAAATGAGAATATTGTGCTTGTTCCACAATCGATTACAAACTGACAGACAATATTAATTATTATATCTTGGTAGGTAATTCAATTTATTACTAATTACTGCACATTTCCGATAGCGATAGCTCAACTGTTATAATTTTGTTGAACTATAAAATTTACATGCTAAATTTAAAATGTGATTGAGGGCCGCATATTAACCTATGACAGGGCAGGCTACGGGTTGAAGACCCCTGATTTAAATTAACACATGGTTAAATCGAGTCAGTTTATTTTGAATAGCATTTTCGATATATTCGAACAAAAGGAAAATAGTTTAGAGATTTGTCAAGACCTTAAAAACCATTCTATTTGAATTTTTTTTGTCATCACAATACCTTATAACATGAAGTATTAGTGGAAAACAATAGTTATTCCAAACTACAATAAACTGAAATGTAGCTTCCTCATTGCCAATTTCCTAATAATTATGTACGTCAAGTGCTTAAAATATGAACAAATGTTGTACACTTACCCTGACTAATCTCTTGGACTGGACTTTGGATTTCAGACACGACGCTGCTCTCCGATGAATCATCTGACATGTCATACTTTTTACTGGGACGCTTGCGATTTTGCTTCTTCTTCGGCTCCTCATCTGATGCTATCTCGCCTTCGGACAACGATGACGAATCAGAATCATAAATAGGCTTCTTCGACAATTTTTTCTTTGTCTTGGACTTGTAATAGCGACTAGGTGGTGATGAGGCTTTAGAACGTTTTCTCTTTTTGGCCATGCTCGTATCCTGCGCACAAACACACATACGCGCGCACACACAAAAGTTAGGGCTGTAGAACACAAACCAACACACAGTATTATAAAACTTACATCGTCGCTGAATTCAGAAGACTCGTCAGAACTGATGGCTTTCTTATGTTTGCCCATCGTTTCGGTATTCGAGCGGGATGTCGATAAATCGGTCTCGACGACGATCGCAGTAGTAATGTAAATTATAATATTATTCACTACCTACTCAGAAATCAGATTTCAATTCGACTACAATGGTTCATGTCGTTCATGATAAAATAAATAATGATAGTCGGTCCGCATCGCGACGCCACCGTCCGTTATGCAGGAGCTAGCAGGCTGGCCTCATACACTGTGCAAACGGCACTCACTATTATTGTACCAGCACACACGCCATGGTATCTGTGGGAATCGTGTTATCTAAGTTCCGGCCCTTGGGAACCACTGAGATAGATAGATAACAATATACTTATCTATCTCAGTGTCGGGAACATTTTACAGAATGCGTGATGTATAAATTATTTACTCAATGGCGTGATATCTGATAAACCATAGCCCATTGCCGAAATTGTGATGATAATATGACGAACATTTATTGTAATGACAATAAGGTCTTCAGCTCGGTCTTCAGTTTTTATAAAAAAATCACTGTTTCACACTTTCGTCTTTGCCACCACGATTCATAAACATACGGTTTAAAGTGTTATATTTGATATCATGGTTTTCGCTTTAATTCTAATTCCGTTGGTGCCCGCCGTCGATTGCGGGCCACGGGGAAAAAAGGAAATATAAATCAGTGGCGTGCCCAGGAAATTTTCATAGGAGGGGGGGCTATATGTTATAAATGTTTTGGTAAAAGTACATTTAAATTAATATAAAATAATTAAATAAGTTGAAGTCAACAAAAAAAAGTCAATGGGGGGGGATATATATAACCCCTAACCTCCCCCCCTTGGACACGCCACTTATCTAAATCTATTTAGAAGTGACGTTTGCGGAAAAAGTAAAATGTTTAGTAAAATATTTCAGTGGAAATGTTAACGCAAAATGGGTAAAAATTTATTTATTTTAAGTTGTTGGTATCAACAATTGTGGATGCAACCAGTTCTGTAAATGTCGCTGTCGACCATTTGTTATAATTAGTCGTTAGATACCTTGCACCTACTTTACCTATTGTCTTAAGTAGCGTCCACAAAGCTTAAAACTTATTAGGCCTTCGCATAATATAAGAACCATTGTCTATTTAAGTCCTCCACCTCGACAATCAAACCTCAATAGGTATACCTACCGCTCTAATTACTTCTATGCATTCTAATATCTGGGTGTGACCAGACTACATTAGGGGAAATGTCACTGTATTCACAAAAAACTATTTTTATTAAATTTTGATGTACCTACCTAAATAAATATTTTATTAGTTAGCTAGGTCTTAGTTACTTAAGAAGTAGTGACCATAGACCACTATCATTATTTGGTCATTAATTATTATAAATACTTATATAGGTATGGTATGATACATTTTTTTTAAAGTAGTATTAAAATGTATTTTTCTACATATTTATATATTTAATTGATAACATAGAAATTAACTGGCATGCAACCATCAGAGGTCATCTGTGATTATTTTTAAATGTATAACATTTGTGACTGCCGGCACCCATAGTTTGTCATTATTACCACACCAGATGATTCCCGGTGATTGTAAATGAATATGGTTTTATATTATTAATGTTTCCATAGTACACTAAAAAAAGAGCTGTGGAGTAGCAGAAATCATTAAAAGATGTTTGATGTAATAAGTTTTTTTAAATACAATTGTAATAGTAGATACAAATTTGAAATAACACCGAAAAATATGCTTGATGTACAGGTGATACATATTATATGACCGACAAAGGTCAAATGGCAATTAACGTGTTAATTACCAAGAGTGTATAATTTTATCAAATAGGTAGCTGGATTTCATTAAAATATAACTTTTGAAATGAAAATTATGGCCACACTTGTTAAGCAACTAAAAAAAAATATTAACTGTAAAATTATTTAAACATTCTAATTAATAATATTTGACAATAATTCGTTGGTATTTACATAAAAATGCATATAATATAACCATAAGTGTATCTTAGAAGTTAGAGGTACAAGTCCTTGAATTTCTTAGACAATAGTATTTTTCTATACTGTTGAGCCCAGCCCGAAGCACTTTTAGCTCAAAGTATTTTCTAAGAAAATTTAGATACTAATAATTTGGTTAACTGTTAAGTCAACATCAATAATTGTGTACATAATTTGTCATTTAAAAATCGGTAGAAATTTTTAGTTAAAAGATAAATAATTCTGGTGAAGAATTTGAGTAGGTACAATTTCCAGCATAGCAATTGCTTTTATATATACTTTCTGGGTATTTTAAAATTTGCTTTTAACAATTCCGTTACAACTTACTTACTAAAACTCAATGGAATTATGCTTATATGCAAAACGCATAACGTTATAGTCAGAATACATTTTTTTTACTGAAATCTTAACAATAAAAATATATATAATGAAATCAAAAACTACATTCAAGTACCTAATAAAATTATTAAAATATTATATTGTTTATTTTGATAATTAATTAATACAGTCATTGCAATGCATACATACATCTAGATTGGAGTGTGTAAAGCTGAAATTATAAATGAGATAAATGATAACATACACAATATACAGTATCCAATTTTTAATTTGATATTACATAAGCATTTAGTATTTTTAAACAACAAAATCATGAGCTTAAACATCAGAATGAAATTAAACATTCTTATTCCAAAATTGGATACTGCCGTCAAAAAAATATACATTAATTAGCCAATTAATACATTACAGTTGTTCTTAGAAAAATATTAATCAATGGTTGAAAAAAAAAAGATAAATGTATCAAAATCATAAAATTAAGAGTAGGTATTCATAGGTTTCAACTATAATTAACCTAAGATAACATAAAATATCTCAACTATAGATAAATAGGCTAAAATTAATAGTTAATTTTGAAGGTAAAATATGTTAAAGAGCCAGCACACAATGCAGCAGTGATATTTTAATGCTACCACTAACGTTGCAGTGTGTGCGGACCTTAACACTCAGTCTCTGTATCTTATCCACTTTTTAATGGTGTAATATCATTGTACAAAATTTTTTTTTTATTTATTAAGCATTATTAGTTATACTAGATGTTTCAAAGTCATAAATGAGTTGAATTGATTTTATTATCAATTTAGCGGTATCAAACCTATTTGTTTCAGATTGCTTTTCAGAATCAAAATTCCACAAGCAATTATTCAATAAAGATGCAAGGTTTTTGACTTCCTTTTCTGGTGACTTAATAGTTTTATCTAAGTCTGTTATTTCGTGTAACAGTCTTCCATCGTTGCTTAAGAATTCCTAAACATATAAAATACAATTTTATACAATTTACTGTTTTTTTAAAAGGATAACATAATATAGCAACTAAAAAAAACTAAATGTTCATATATCATGACATATTCATTTGAAGGTGTAAGTTCTGCTAATGTAAATCAACATTAAAATGGAATTATTATTGCAAAACTTATTTGCACACTAGAATACTGAATTTTATGCATATTAAAACACTATACAAAGAACAAAGTATGAATTGTTAAAAAAAAAATAAGGTACTCTGTGAAAATGTTAATAGTATTATACAACAGGATTGTAATGTTTCACAAAACAAATTAGTTTCATCAAAAATCCATTCAAATTTCAAGAGAGGCAATATTTTTAACATTGATGTGAGAGGGGGCGGCTTCGATCCCACGCAAATAAGGACCTGTATATTTTTTGGAGGGATAAGCACCACCCCCTAGTACAACATGAAAGTATTACTTTTAACTGTTTGGCTAAAATAAGCAGTTGCTATTATATATTTATAAATTAACCTTTTATAGGAAAACAAGTAACTCACTTTGCAAACAGCATATATATTGTGATCACTAATCCTCGATTGACAAATGTCTTCTTTTGAATAAGATAAACATCCAGGTCCACAATCAATATGTTTACTTACATGTTTATTGTCTAATAATAATAATAATAATAATAATAATAATAATAATAATACAGTATACAAAAATTAAAATAAACATTAAAAAATGATCATAGAATAATAAATAAATGTACCAAGTATAAACTTACCATTATCAGTTTTCTCCATACTATGGTTATTGACCACTATTATAACATCACTCCAGTCAATTACTTTCAATGATTGTAATAATCCTGATGTTGAATTCAATTGTACAGCTATATTATCTGCTGTTAAATCGGTTAGATAAAATGAATAACTTTGATGAGCAGTACCATCTGCAAGCTCCAACGCCAACGTTAGTAACTCTTTGGCCACTAATAGTCTATTGCTCAAATTCATCTTACTCATATGATATTGTAAGGTATAACCACAATCCTCAACAAAATATACTCGCCCACATGTAGCATAAATATTTGGTACATAACGATATCCATGTAATACCTAAATAAACATTGGTTATGAGGTAATTACAATTAGTTACTTTATTCAAAAGTATTATATATAAATATACATCGACTTCCTCACCTTTAGAACAAGAAGCTCAACACTCACATGTGCAGCGATCCATGCTTCTATCAACGAATGAGCTTTATTATCGCTATTGTTACTAATAACAGTGTTGAAAAAACTGTAAAGTAATGCATTTTGAAACGATTTAATGTCTTTGGAACATATTTCAAGGCTGCGGCTATCATCACTTGGCGGTAACAAGGTCCATTGGCCATAAGTTATAATTGTATCTATATCTGTAGCGATGTTGACTGTTTGCTCAAACATTTCAAAACAATTACGTCCAGGTCCTTTTGCTACAGCACTAACAGTTTTGTCATTGAGCCTTAGAGTGCCAAAGAATATTTTATCATTTCGTTGGCTCGTCCAGAGTTTGAACAAACTCACCATGGACATGTAACTAGCGTGATTGGATAAAAATATCCCAAGATCTTCATGTTTTTTGTAATTCAGTTGAAAGTCAAGTGCGTTACAAGAAGAATCGTTTCCTAGGTTCAGTGGGCCGAATGTTATGTTTATATTATATTCATAAGATTCGAGTAATCTGATATTGGTGCTGTTTCGGTCATGGAGATAAAACGCGACCAACACCATAGCAACATAGAAAATCAGTGAAGTGATTGAAGGCATTTATAAAGTTTTTATGTCTACAGTCATCTAAATAAAGAAATATATAATATAAGTTTTATTACTACAATTTAAGGTCAGTGAAAATGTTATAAGCAATTGGTATCTACTAACCAAGAAATTAAGGACGTTTTAAGCTCTAATACGGGGTTTGAATTTATTCAAATTTATTGTTTTCAATATTACGAAATCAAAGAGCGATTTTAAATAGAAACATATTCATAAATAAGAAAACACATTCTTAATTTAATAATTATTTATCAGAGTATTACAATTTACGAACACGAAATACGAAACACTATTCCCAATCGACATGCGAGCAGCAAATTCGACTGAATACAAAATAATCTACGATATTACGATCGCTATGATAATTTTGACGACTATAATATAAAATGTAGTACATGCGTCTCGCTGTGATAAACTGATAACACAAAAAACCAGTGGGCGAGCTACTTGTAGAGCTGTTGTTGTTATATAAGGCTAACGTTGTAGCTGCGGTTGTTTATTTATTATTTAAAAACACGACATCAAGAAGATCTTGTCTACAACTGTGCTTTTAACCCATAATTTTCATGACTAAATAATATATGATTTGCCATTTAGCCATAATATTGTTTAATTTTGTTGTAGCGTTGGTATCTCGCATTATCACGGGAACTATAGTTCTATTAACACTACATTTTTCATAAGAAAGGCCGCCAATATCACTTCACACTTGGACTATCGTAGAAAATAGAAATACACGTTTCGTAAAAAAGTTTTAAAAATCGTGTCAACTAAAGTGAATTTTTTTCCCAAATTACATTATCATTTTATCTATTTTGTTTGATGTCGGTGAATCTGCAAAATCTGATATTAGTGACATCATTTCGTAGAATTCTTACTAGTAGGTCACTTTTATAATATTATTTGTACCGGATAACAATTTCATAACAATAATGTTATTTTCTATATTAAGTTAGTAATATGTTTTTGTTGGAAAAATCTGAAAACACTATACGAAGCTTAAAAAAATTAATTTTAATAATTTTACTACGTGATAGTTGTGACTGGTGAGTTTTGAAATATTAAAAATTTAAAAAATTTCAAAGAGCGCGTTTGTGTTTCAAAATTACATTGCGCTTTCATGCTTTATGACATAATATTATATGTGAGTTTTATAAGAATAAAAAAAGGCTCCAAATGTAATTTGAACCCTTCAATTCTTTGGATTTGGTTGTACAGGTACTTCCTGCTGTTTTCTCCAACTGTGGATGGAACTGCTGGTCAAAAATCGAAACTTGTTTCGTTTTAAATATGGAACTGTTAGACATTATTTAAGTCATTTGCTTTATTTTTGCATTACCAAACTCTGAAGTAAGAAAAACGTTATTGAAACAAAATTAAATGACGACATTTGATCCATCTTTTAAACTTAAAAAGACTAAAAAATGGTCAGTTTTGGGTGACATTTATGGCCCTACGTAACTATTCAAGAGTTCATGAAATATTGGAATGTTTTTATCATTGTTTGATGAGCATGATAAGTAGAACTAGTCTTAGAACTTAACGTCGTACGGCAAAGTGGTACCTACTTACACCCATTTGTTTACTATTAAAAATTGCTAAACTTAGTTAAAAAGCTTGAAAATGTAATATACCCAAAAATCTCAGTGTGTACGCCACTGTCAATACTTACATAGTTTCCTACATCTTACATCAGACCGGTGATGTATTCGAGTATTTCTATAATCTATAACCATGATCTTTAATTCTTTATTATGACTATAATATTTGTGGGTAAATGTACGCCTTTTTCAAACATTATTATTAGTTATTACTATCGGAATATCAGCACAAATAAGTGATGATTTCATTATTAAGTACAAGTATATAATATTTATATACCAAAGAAAGTAGCCTTTTGTGAATATTTTTTGTATTACTTATCCAAACCAAAATCATGAAACCCCAATGAAAAGCTTGAAAGGAAAGGAGACGCCCATTGATGAGTGATGACATTTACTATTTTTGGGAATTTGAATTCAGAAAATGTATGTACATCAAATTTAATATACGAATAAACTAACACAGTAATAGTATAGATACTTATAATTATAAACTGTATAATATAGAAGATAAAAGGCCTTTGTTTCTCAAAATATTTTTTGATCATCACCGGATACCTATAATACTAAATTGGAATACAGTCTAAAAATTAAAAATTACAAATAATTATAGAATATTTTGTTTGTATCACTGAGATATTAGTATTATAGTTTTTTGTTTATATAAAATAAATATTATCTTTAAATAAAATAGTTTTATAAATACCATTTATTTTATTTTTTTGAAAGTGCATTTTAATAGCATATTTTATGATTCTTTAAGACATGACATCCCTAGCATCTCTAAGCATAAAATGCCATTTTCAATATTCATATTTGTGTAATATGATACCTAATGTATAAGTTACATCCCAAAAACTGTACGAGTGTATTTATCTACCAAAAACGGTGTATAATACCTACTAATTAATTACAATTTATAAAACTAACAATTACTTAATGTATTGCTGATAACCATTAGTGTCAAGTATTTTAAATAATTGGATACTTTGTTCTTACGTCATCCCAGAAAAAATAAGTTATCTTTGTCTTGGTGGATATTTACCAGTTATCATAATGGGTATTTTAGAATTGTATGACCGTTAATATGGTGTATCAAGTAGGTAGCATACTACACGAGACCAATATTTCTGGGAATGAGAATGATAAAAATTGTGGCCACTTTAATAACAAATTATTATTAGTTACATACAGCCCACCTAGCTAAACTATTAGTGATAATACAACTTCTGCAAAATGTAATAAGCTTAAAAAAAAAGTTGCGTATCATTAAGTATAAAACAAATTTAAAAAAACAAGTTGCATAAGATAAAAAAAAAAATATGAAAACTTGTTTTATTAATAACAATTATTTTATACACAAATTATTAAAATAAATGAAATAACAACTGTAGATGCGTAACATTATTTATTCATAAAAATGTTTGCAAAATAATTACAATAAGTCAAGAGTTAATTATTAAATTATTGAAAAAATGTTGATATAATAAATAATAAACTTGAAATTAAATTTGAAATTATTCAAAATCAACCAAAATGTGAAAAAGTAAAAACATACCATAAGTACTGTTGTGTAAGATTTTAATGTTCTTTAATTTAGTTGAATTAACGTGATTTTTTTTTTTAGTCTACTGTATTAAAATTGTCATCTTTTCATTTTTATGTATTGGGTCTTTTTCCAATGAATAATGGTTTTGAATCCATTTTCTTATCCAGTTGTTTCTTCTTATTCATATTATCAACCTAAACAATCAGAAAATGAAGAATAAGAGAAAATAAAAATTAAGGGAGTAAACAATTGTTGTGTAAAAAATGTGATTATGTTATTATACATGCATCGTGAATATTTTTTATTAACCCCTAAAAATGTGATTTTCTGAATTTGTTTAACACAAGCGCAACATAGGAATCCAGACTATTACTACCATACTGATTGATTTAATAATGTTAAAACATTATATTATTAATATTATTAATACTATTATGTAAAAACTGCAAACTTGATTTTTTTCCTGTCTTTTAAAGATTAACATTTTTAATTTTATCTTCTTAAGTCCTAAAAAATTGTATTTAGTCAGTAGTATTTATAATTGTTATATTATAGTTTTTAGATAATAGAACTAAAAATTTGGGTAAATTGATCTCAAGAAGACAATACAATAATTTAAATGTATTTTCAGAATTCTTATTACTTCACAAGATCAATCAGCACATTAGAAATAATTAATATGATCTAAATTCCAATGTGGCATGTTAATTAGACAAAAACAGAAAATCTCTGCTTTCAATCCCCATAAGCTATATTACATCAATTATTAATATTATTTTTTTAAAGTTGAATAAATATAAAAAAAAGCATTAAAACACATTGAAATATTAATTGTATACTATTAAAGTATTATCTGTATTTACTAATTGTAATTTTTAGTTATAGTTTTGAATATGAAACATATTCTGCTTCTTTTTTTAAAAAATAAATTGTATATCTGAGTGTAATAAATTAAATAATGTATAAACACTAATAAATATTGACATTAATAAGAAAAAAACAAAACCACTAGGAAATATTTTGCTACAATTTAAAGTTTCAATATAAAAATAAATATTTTTTCAGTAATACTAATTAATTGAATATTTACGTTATGAATATCATTTTCGTGTAAGTTGACACGATGTTGTTTACGTTCTGATCTTGTAATGTTATGAGTTGCTTTCATTGATGCTGTTTTGGTTTTGATAGTCTTCAAAATTTCAGACGTATGTTCCAACTTGAAAAAATATATGTATATGATATAATTTGGTCAATCTTATATAATGGTCATTAACAGCGGTTCTCAAACTATTTTTTTATCGCATACCACTTATGTGCATTATTAATCTGTCGAGTACTACTTATGTGACCATGTTCAAACACAATTTAAAATATTCATTTATGTACTCTCCGTTCTATCACTTTGTGACCTTTCGCGTACCATAGTTTGAGAACCTCTGGTCTTTAATATGTCTAGAAAAGATAGACAAGGTGTTCTTAGAGTTTTTGGCAAAACCTATAGACAAAGACAATACAGCCAACAAGATCGTAATGAGCCACAGCTTGGAAAGACAATGAGTATTTTATTAATGACAAAAAATAAAATAAAAAATATTTTATAACAATTTCATTAACTAGCTAGTAGCTACCTATTGCTCAGCCTCACAATTTAAGTTCACGGACACACCTAGTAGTATAAAATATACTTACACCATCCCAAGATTCCTCATACTTTATGGATGGTGCATTTTCTACATTCGAATCTGGACGCGTCATATCTTCCGGTTCATAAATAGCTGTATCAATTAATATTCGATTTGGGCAATTTTCTTCATGACTCTAAAATGTACATCAAATTTATATGAGAATCTATTACAAATAGTTAAAAACTATATTTGTTTATCTTGATATTCTACCTTCAATTCTGTGTCAGGCATTACATGTGATAAATTGTAGATGCAATGTTTAAAATTGGGTGGTTTATCTGGGCATTTTGTTAAGTGCTTGGTTAATGTCTTTTGCGGCATTGTATGAGCTGCATTAAATGGACAATGAAAGTTTGTAGTCTCCGGTGCCAAATGTCTACAGTAAAAATGAGGACAATTTGTTAACACAAATAATAATTTAATAATTAGGTGACGTCAAAAAGATAAAAAGCAAATTTAATGATTTAACACAATGGGCATAGTTTGTTGTGGGGCTGTCTGTGGAGGCTTTCGGTGGTAACACAGAAACTTTTAATTAGCATACAATATTTACAATTTGGAAAGACATGATAGAATTTTAAATATATTGACATTTCATTGGACTAAAAATCTTTTGTTACTACAGAAAAAGTAGAATTGATTAACTATACCTATTATTACAACCTTTGTAATATTAATTAAAAAAAACATTTGATTAACCTAATCTAACCAGTGAAGGGCTTCCATTTTTGTTTATAACTAATGAAAAATAAATAGGTATATTTTATAATAGGTATCTCCTATTGAAAAACAGTTGAAAAACATTAAAAATACGTGGGCATGATTTTTTTTAAAAGCAGTTCAAATTTTGACAATATTTATCAAATTGAAAATTGAAAATGATTTTGTAGTTAAAAATATATAAAATGTTCAATTTGTATAGCTAAGGATTGAACAAGGTTCCACTTAAACAGTTTTTTCCATAACTAATAAATCTTAAAAATATATGAATACGGTTATTTTTTATAGACATTTTAAGTTCAAATTTGGACAAAATTGGATATTAACTCAAAGAATAATGGTTATCATTTTGTCGTAAATGGTTCCAAAACAGTCCAATTTTACATAGGTATATTTAATATTTTTCCAGCAACACTGATAATTTAAGAATAATATTAATTTAACTTACTGGCTACCATATTAATAATAAGTAATAACAATATAAAATATCCTAAACTGACATACCGTCTCCACTCAGAATCGTTTTTCAAGTATAGTAATTTGATATCATTGAATTCAAATTTAATATCATCCATTACAGCGACCTCTTAGACACTTAATGTACAGCAAAGCGACATCCAATTACCCGTTTTTTAATTATTAAGTAGATTTCTTTTTTGAGAATTTTGATGTATCAAAATCAAAATTCAAGCTTGTAGTTTTTGAATTATGTAAATTTTATTTTAAGGTATATTTTAATATGTCTATGGTAATCAGTTAAGAGGAGGGCTTAGACGATTTGAAAATGTTAGAAATTACTATTGATCAATCAATATAAATAATTTGTAAAAATGATCCAAGTATAATAAATATTAAATATTACATTTAATATTCCACATAGTTTATACTTTTATAAAAAAAATTTAAAGATTATTATCCTTAGTATAAACATTTTAAAAACTCAGAAACTACTCATTAGAATTTTGATTTAGATACATCAACATTTTCATAAAAATCATCCATCAAATAATTTTCAGTAAAAAAGGGGTTCTCATTTGAAAAATAGAAGAGCATGCTTAAAAAATCACCCTGTATAGTGTATACAAATGTAGCTATATGTAGCTTCATATTCTTAAAAAATTTTGAGGTGCTCATGTGAAGATAAACATTTTAACAAAGTATCATACTTTAACAGCCCCCACGATGCATTTACCCAAATTAAAAAAAAAATTTAAAAAAATCTAACTTCAAAAGCTCATAATAATTAAGTATAATTATATAATAATAATATTGACATAGTGCTTGCGTCCATGCTGCCATGCAGATAGCAAACACAAGTCCTAATGAATATTATGACTATTTTTAATTTATAGTTATTACATTCGGATTACCTATTGCAAAATAAATTTTAAAATGTAAAATTATTTAAGAAATGCCTGCAACATTTAATTATTAAAACTAATTTTAAGTTAGTTGAATATAATGATTTTGGTGACTAATATGATCAACAAAAATCTGGGGCGTCCTTCCCCCCTCCTTCAGAACAGCCCAGAGTACAAATTCATCTCACCTTCAGTGGATTCCTAAGAATTTTATATTATACATAATCACTAACAATAAGCATTGACTATTTACCATGTTGCTTGTGACTAGATTTTGTATTTTTAAGTAAGTAGCCAAGGCAAATAAGAATTGTGTAATTTTATTTACTTAAATAGAAATGTATAAATGTATTCACTCAAAAAGAAAATTTAATTTGTGTATTACATAATATTATATTTGATGGAATACACATTTTTAATGTAATTTGTTGAAAATGATATCTAATGTTGAAGTGTTTAAATAATATGCCTCTATATGATATTTATTATCAATTAAAATGAAAACTAATTGTTAGGTATGTGTTATTATGTAGAAACTTAATACTATATACAACACAATCTTTACAACAATAGGTAGGGTGTTAGCCCCCTACCTTTATTGCGCCTATGAGTGAAAAGAAGACCACGGATTGGGACTTTTTTTGGCGATACCAAATTTTCAAAAGCTCCCAATAGGCACTCTACAGATAAAATTCTTACAGCTGCCACTGACTTCCTCGTTTGTAATAAGTTAATCACATTGAGCATTTTCATTGTTGTGTAGCGCATTAAGTGAAGTGCTGAGTCCTAACTTTTATAAATTGTTACTATGTCACATTTTTAAGGCATTTGCATTTGTTTCTTATTGCCTTGAAATCAAAGCTTTATTTACAACTGAATCTGACATTTATAATACAAATCGATTACTATATCCACGTCTAGCTAGCGAGTATTTACTTAATATTATTGTATATAGTAGTAAAATACAATATGAATATATTGTACACAATAATAAAATATATTGTTTATGGGTTAATAGTAGGATAACTGTAGGTAAAGATTGTACATTTAATGTTACGTTCTTAATTCATAAATGTAGTACATTTTACTTGTTTTTCATTTTGTGGGATGTTTGGTGATTTTGTAATATTTACTTTGCTATTAGTTGATTTAGGAAACTAAAAGAAAAGGTGGTACCAAGAAAATCAGAAAGAAAAAGGAAACCTTTATAAAAATCAATTGAGAGCAGTTTAAATATTGACCTGCTTACTTTCCTTAAGACTGTAATAGCTTACAGTCATCTCACTTTAAAATTAAAATATGCTTTTATATGAGGTTCACTAGTTGATATTTTAATCTTTAAGTTTGATAGTGGGTAATTTTATTCTAATATTAAGGCTCACATAAAATCGGTTTGGATCAAAGCAAATTTTGTATTTTTGTAAGAGGGAGATAGCACATATGAGTATGGTGTCCTCCTAATATAATTATGCAATTATAATTTTGTGAACAGATTTAACTTAATTCATTTTGGTGATTTCAAAACTTTTAGTAAAACCAAGCAAAGGTTAAACACAGCTGTTCATTGTACAAAAATATTAACATTTTTACCATAATATGATGTACAATTCTGGAAAAACCAAATTTTGATTGCAAGAAATATTTTTAAAAAAATTGAAGTTGAATGTATACCTATTTAAATCTACAAAAATGTATATAGAATTAAAATGCTTATTACATGTAAGTAATTAGGCAGGTACTTACAATAATTCCATTGTGCTGAATGAAAAAATTTAAAACAAGTTGGAATGTTCAATGTTGAAAATAGTAGAAAACTGGTACTAAAAAAAAAAAAATTGCACAATTATTCACATATATTATGAAAGAGTCAATCATACAACTTATATAGTGAACAGTGATTACTGATTAAAATTTAGGTAAAATATAATGAACAAATGTACATTAAACATTAACCACAAGTGGTGGTTATGGAATAGTAATCAATAATATGTAGATAGGTCATACGATAATCCAAAATGGGCCAAATGTAACTGATGAGGAACTTAGAACCAACTTACGTTTAATCGTAGAAGAGAGAACATAGATAAAAATACCGTTGAGATTTAAAATTTTAATTTCTTACACGTTCACCGTTACTGTCAACTGCGGTCTACGACGTACGACATTACTGTGTAGATACTAGATAACAACTGACGGGCGTCGAACGTCGAGGCGTCGAGCATAAATTGAAGACTGAACACTGCAGTGGAAAATATTTACAATAATAGAATAATAATAGCAGTATACTGTATAGCACTCATGAACTTAATAATATTTTCGTATAGATAATTAAATACCTACTGGCTACAATCTGTTATCTATATCTATCATTTCCAAGATAAACATTAATATTTTGGTGCATAGACAATATATTAATTATTTATATATGTCTATGGGTACGACTTGTAGTTAGCAATGTCGTACCCACGTTTTAAAATATTTGTAACTCTCGCCGCTAGAGCCACGTCCGTCGCCTATGGAATATGGCCGATAGGCTGCGCTTTCTTTGTAGTATATCATAGTATATACATATATACATCATATTGTATATGATCTAAGAGTATATCCCACTAATCAACAAATAGTCTCGGGAACCACGGTGTTATTAATAAATTAGAAGTTATAATTTTATTTTTATACACTGTTGTGTTGAACGTTTCGTATCATTGTATCATTAGTAGGACTGTTTCACATGGACGAGCATTGTACTCCACGTATCATACGCGCGCATTTTTAGCTTACATTGCTTAAATTTATACGTGCCATACTGCCGAGGGAAACCCACCATCGTCGGAGTGGCAAGTAATGCGTATGAATTTAACCAATGCAAATGAAAACTCGCGAGTAGGTACAGTACGTCGCGTATGATGTGCGCCAATAATAATATTGTTTCAAAATGTCCAACTTGATCCCATGTGTATTTAATTATTATTTGTCATTAAATTGTTGGACGTATTGGTAACACGAAATGAAAATTGTTTGACTAAATATGTTTAGCCTGTGTAGGTGCCAATACTGAATACATGGAGGAGTAGAAACTGTGGTTAACATAACTTGATTTATAATAATCGTAAATAACTTTTTTTTTTTGAAGATGAATGATGAAAAATATTAAATACTGTTAAATTAAATTAATAAGTATTTATTTTTCAAGATAATTTTTATTTTATAGTCATGACCCATGACTAGGATTTGTATGCATAAAAAACTAACCAAATATGCACTAAAAAATCTTAAATACGCATAAATATATCCACTAAAAAAAAATATATGTCAATAAGATGTCAATGGTCTATCGACTATCATGGTCGTAATCGATAATTTCTTATCTTCGTATACGTATTTTATTTCCCCAATTATTGATCTAAGGTCATATTAGGGAAAACCGTTTTTTCCTACAAGTGTACACATATTAATTTATTTTGATATTAATCGAAACTATAAAAGTATAATATTATTTTCTTACATTATAATACTTTATACTTCAAAAATGTCTAATTAGACAAAAAACATCGAAATATACACTGAAAGATGAAATATATGCAATTAAAATTTTAAAATAAGCCCATAAAATAGAAAAATGTTGAAATCCGCAAAAATATGAGCTAAAAAAATTTCATTTTTTAAATCGTTATGTCATGAAACAAATTTTGTGCTCACTTAGTGTATCATTCAATCAACCAGAATTAATATGCAAATGCATACAAATCCGAGCTCTAGTCATGACGTTGGGTGTTAAGTGACTAGATATAAAATACTTGAACACGGGAATAATTATTATTAGTTTTACATTCACTAAAATAAAATGTTAATTGTTAATAGAATAACATAATATTATCTTTTATTGAATAAAAAATGACTTTTTGACTTTTTAGTATAGTTACGTAATTATATAAAATATTAATATAGAAATCTATATTTTATAGCTAGCAGAAGTTCAGGGCCGAACTGGGTCAAAAATATCTATACACTTAGGTATACGTTATCGTATTATCGAAAAACGTTTTCATATAAAATGATTGTATATTATTTTGAGAATTTGAACACTTAAATATTATTAATGAAAATTAAAAAAATTAAAATTAGGTTAGCGGGTACAAAGAAATGTTATCATTTTTATTTAAAATACATATGTTTAGACTCCAGAATACACATACATACTTAATAGGTACGTCCTATTAAGAAATTTGTTAAGGTTTGAGCTCTTTTGCGAAATTGTGTCGATTATGATTTCGGCAACACCGGAATAGGTGGAAGTTCGTGTGGTGATAATAAAATGTCGCACATTTTGGACGGTTAGAGGGCCCTATTCTCGAATTTTATAGCATTCGACATAAAACAGAACTCGATCGATTCATCGTCGATGGTATTCTCGGAATAATGCATGACTTTTCTCGAATGGAAAAAGTTCGGCAATTTGTCTACTGCTACATCGCATTCGAAATTTAGTCGAATGATTTATTATTTGCAATCACTATAGATTAAATATAATTCACACATAATATATCAAATCCTGAATAACATGATAATTGATTAGTCATCTTTTATTCTTGAGAGTACACTTTGAAAATTATTTGAATTTGTTTTCTTTAATAATTGCCGAGTTAGTGTCTTTTGTTAATTATTACAAAAGTGGCGAACAAGGATGTAAGAGCTATGATGTTTGTTATTGCTAATATAGAGGGCAAGAAGCTCAAAATGTAAGGCAACCGTTTGGCATTAAAGTAGATCCATTTTTGGCTTTAACTGATTAACAATTTGTAAAAACATACCGATTAAATACAATTTTAACAAACTATTTATTAGAGTTAGTCACTCCATTTATAGAACCACCAAAACGTTCGTCGGTATTGACCATCCAAAATAAGGTAATAAATTAATGAAAATAATTAGGTACCTATACAATTTTGTAAGCTGTAATAAAAATATATTCTTAGGTCTTAATTGCATTGCAATTTTTTGGAACTGGGTTATATCAGTTGCCCACAGGTAGTTCTAGATATAGTGCTGTTTCTCAACCTTCAGTTTCACGTAGTATAGCGAAGTAACAAAATATGCACTTAACCAACCTAGAATTGTCCACAATTGGGTCAAATTTCCTAAAAATATGTCGTAATTAAAGCAGTTGCGAAATGGGTATGTACTATGTATAATGTATATTATATGCTATATAGGTATGCCTGCAGTAGGTATACAGTGTGGAATTTAGAGGGGTGGAGCTGATATTATAATTTTGGTACTAGAGCTATACGAAAAATTGATTGTAAAACTAAAATGGTGACCTATCTAAACAATTTTCTATGTAATAATTGTTATTATTTTCTATTTAATGAATACAGCAATTTTTAGCCAAGCTTACATTATTTTTAAAGTTCCAATGTTAGGAAAGAATAAATTACTAAAAACGCTAAGCCCCCGCCCCTTAAAAAAAATGTTGTAAATTATTTACATGCCAATAAAAATAATATGATGTATACGGCCCTAAAAAGATCACTTATAGATTACCTACTTAAGATAGTGTCTATATGAATAAATAAATTAAGTTCCTTCAAAATGTGTTAACTTCATTTTTTTTTTCAATTATAGTTGTGGCGTACTTTTAAACAGTAGGTATACTGTACCTAATGGCTAATATACAGTATTGGGACAAATATGTATTGCATTAAATAACATTATATGTATTTAACTTTAATTACCTTTTTTTTTTATAATGGTATCGAGGACTGGAGGAGGAACTATGGTGCCAGTATGCCAGTACTTCACCTCCAGCCACCATTGTTTATTGTCAAAAACAAAAACACACAACAATTAACAACGGCAGGCCAATCCCCCACTCGCTGCTATTACAAGCAAAATTGGACTATATATATAATAAAAAACGGCGGAGCTCTGCTCTCCCTAATTGCCTTAGGCTACAAATTAATTTTCAGCTAACAATATACCATGGTGAATTCCGTCGGTTCACAGCCTGTCGCACTCGTTCTTCTTCTTTCTTGACTGAAAGGATGTTTTCCACCATGCCGTAGAATAGCCTGAACCGCTCTTTAACTTTAATAACCTACAACGAGTATAAAATACCATAACTCAACTGTCTAAACCTCTTTTTAAATTGTAGACACTGGTAGTATTAGTTATCCCACTAACATTGATAATATAACGACTAACTGGATTTAAATACATGTGGTATCTAGGAGACTCTGGGTATGCACCAAGGCCTTGGCTTTTAACACCAATTCAAAATCCAACTAATACAAATGAGGAACTCCACAATAAAAAAACAAATGCGCACTAGATGTTTAGTTGAAAGGTGTAATAGGTTCTTAAAAATGAGATTTAGGTATGTATTACTTCAAAGAGTAGGTAATTAGTTCATAGAAACTATGACCAGAGTTTACCATAACCATTTCTTTAAGGTGCCTATTGAAACAGAATTCTACATTATGCACCTGAAAAAGCAACAGCCATAATAAACGCCTGTGTAGTATTGCACAATATGTGTATAACTTACAATGAGCCCGAGCATACAGATAATGTAATTGGCATTGATTTTGGCATGTACGGAAATACTATTGGCCAAAATGAAGCATCCAATGATTTGGACAATGGAAGGAATGTATGTGCATCGGTTGCACCCAATTTTGAGCAAAATGAGTAACAGTCAAAGTTTTTAATACAGATAAAATAAATTAAAACTTTTAATAATATTGAAATCTTGTTTAAAATATTTTATTTTATATTATGTATTTGTAAGAGATTTTAATTAGGAAATTTTTACTATTAATAACACTAGTTAAAATTGTAAAAAAAAATAGACGACGTATAATTAAGATTTGTGATTAAAAGAACTGAAAAAATATATGGAATTATGGGAAGAAAACCATTGCCATTATGCTAGAAAAATAAAACAATAAAAGGATTAATAAGAAAGAAATAGACAAAATTGGTTTACCGATACCCATAAAATAAAAAAATAATGTATATAATATAATTTAATTTAATATATCTTAGGTTTGGTTAGATAGTTTTTAATTAAACAATATTATACACACTTCTTAAACATATATATATTATATATTGATTAATACAATTTAAAAAACTATTTTAACAATAACCACATATTGAAAGCAAATAAGATATTATGACATGTTTACTTAATATTGTATAGCAGATCTATACAATATTAAACAAATTCAGACTAGGCGTTTATATAGAAAGGCAAATTTATAAGAAATAAATAAATTAAGAAATATAGAAAGTTATCTTTGAATTAGATCTGTTCCTGTAAAGTTTTATTGCATAAAATTTTCAAACTGAAATTAATGAAGTAAAAAATAATAATTAATGGGTTATGAATATAAATAATAATAAATAGAATAATGTTATTATATGTTTTATTACTCTTATCATGGTTTGAAAGCAAGGAGT